AATATTAATGAAAAATAAAGGTGGGACATTAGCAAGACAGATGGTTAAACTTTGTAGATTTAATCAATCAAGTGATTTCTCAGAGATACTAATCTGGTGCTGATGGAACATGCATCTATTCAGCATTACAGTTTTATTAAACTGGACGTGGCAGGAGGTCCCCTCTCAATCATCAACGCTTTCATTAGTGATGAATTATTAAAATGAGTTACTGAAACTTTCATGTGTCTTACATGTTGGCCGACGTGATTAGCTAGACAAAGGTATCTGTTATAACTGAATGCGAGTGCTGATCTACTTGGTAATGCTAGTTGTTTCCACACAAAGTCTACATAGTAACTGATCTCAGAACTGTGAAAGCAGAGACAGCAGCAGCTTGCCTAGCACGATAGTCTATCAGTTTCCTGTCAAACACCAGAGGCTTATTCACACATGCACATGGACAAACAACCAGAAAAAGAAGACTGCCTCTCAACTTCAGAAGCTTCATTTATTTTTAATGGGATACAGACATGCCCATGGGAACGCCCACCTCTGTAATCAAGCGGAAATAATTTTGCTTGCAGAGACAATGGCCGACTGTGGCCACAAGATGGCAGTAATGAAAAAGGTGGTAAATATACAATAGCGAAGCTTTGCGATGATGCTTGAGATGAAACAAGAGAGATAGTTTTATTTTAATTGATGTTGATTTTTACTTCTCACTAGATAAGCACTGCTTGCTTTGATGGAAAGCCTCTTGTACCCTTGTCTAAATATTGTTGGCTTCCACCCAAAACAAAAGACTTGGCAGTGTGCTGGAGCATAGGCCTGGCTGTGTCAATCTTTTATGCTGTCTGTGCAAAACTCCAATATGGGAACAAAAAGTGGTCAGCTAGAGGAACGGCAAAAATCACTGCGTGATCAAGGTGGCAACACTTCTTATTAGACACTAGTTAGTGATGTTCCTTTCTGCTTTCTATGTGGAGTTTGCATGTTGCCCTTGTACCCGAATAGATGTATGCCAAACATGTCCATGTTAGGTTAACCAATTATTCTAAATTGACTATGGAGTAGATAACGTGCTGTGTGACTCTAGATTAAAAATCTAATTCTAACCATAAAGTCACTTTGAGTGGTCGGTAAGACCAAATCAGTGCTACAAAATGTGGTCGATGAAGTCGATGGCACTGGTTCTAAATTGAGCACTAGTGGAAAAGGGTTTTAGTCTTGTGTTTTCCGTTTTGGTTGGAATAGTTGCACATTATAACCACACTGATTTTCCAAAACTCTAAAGCTTAACTGGAGCGTTTATGATGGGTTTGATATGTTCGAGGGCATGTGAGCTGTAATCTCTTCAACTTTCTCTGATCAGATTTAACCTTCAGGTCATAATAAACTGCATCAGATCTGCGAGTAAACTTACACTTCTATCAAACTAAATACAGACAACATTACATCAAGTCGGCAAATAGAAAAATTTAAACTCTGATGAAAAAGTTAATCCACAAACTACATCTGAATAATAATAATGACAATATTTAATCTGCTTTCTCTTTTTGTCTTAATTTTCAGTGTGACCAACTTTTTCCACATCATAATGCAAGTTCAGCCAGCCTTATCGTGGTTTGCAATGCAAGAAAGCAATGAGCTGGGCGTTTAATAGCACACATGAAGAGGCTGTCTCAATCTATCCATAAGACTACAGTGGAAACAAAATAATGTGACTGTGATTACAAAATGTTTTATTTCTATTTTAGGAAAATCTTTCCACTAAAGTAAGTAATTAAAAGATTATTTATTCCTTTCATACGTCACAAGAGTGACACAATTTTTAACAGCCACAATGATCATTTTCCAATACCAGCATTTTCCAACATGTGGGATCTTATCTGAGGATGATAAGAGCCCACAGTAGAGTGCCCCCTAGTGGCACAAAAACTCCATGACAATTTCCAGTTTGAACCTTTAAAAATACACAAAAGAAAGACAGTATATGAAATCACGTGTCATATGTATTATCTCTTTAATAAATTGATACAAACATACATTTCAGCTGTCATTCAGGACATTATGCTTCAAAAAGGCATAACATCTGTGATTAAATACAGAGTTTTACATTCTCACCCTGCTGCATTTATTACGCAACTCGGGAACCAGGAACTAAGTTAGTCGGACTGTCACCTGATGTTTCCTCATCTTCTGAGAAGGAAACTAAGTGAAAAATCTGCCTTGACAAACAATTAGTGGAAAGTCAGACTCGACTATAAGGGATGACTTGATCTAAGAAAACTTAGTCTGACTCGACTAAGTTTTTCTCCATTACAGATGCAGGAGCATTTCAGGTCATCAAAAGTGATCCCCAACTTTGCTTAAATTAAGACTTTTAGGAGGAGAGATTTTTATGCAGCAGATATGAGAGTGAATACACCTGGCTGGATGTTGTAAATTCTTGCAATCAAAGCCAGATGAGACATAACATATCACACATCATATGAAAACTGTGATGGAGACAGAATTCAAAACTGAAATCTGGCACAGACTTCTCTGCGATCTCATTCCTCTCAGTGAAATAGTGACTCATAGGGGCTCAAAGTGCAGTATTTATCACAGTTCTACCTACACGATCAGCTGATCAGGTGTGACTATTTCTTTTAAACTCTCTTTTGCACATGCACTTCTTCCTCCCCACAACCCGATGGCATCTCAGTGTCAGCTTCACATCTAAAAGCAAACAGTGGCTGCTCCTTTGTAAAACTGCAATCATACCAGCGCCTAACTAGTATTCATTTTAACAAGACTGCATACACGTAGAGCTGGGCGATATGAGATTTTTTCATATCACGATATGTTTTTTTCATTTCAGGCGATAACGATATCTATCACGATATAATCCAAATAACTATATTTGTAAGATTTAAATGTGCCGTTGCTCACAAGTAAAATGTGAAATAATCAGCAGCTTGTTTTTATTTAAATATTTATTTCCCATAATAAGTTCAACAGGGTAGATGTACTTAAGGAACATGAGACTTTTTCAGATAAATAAAGGCAAATATTGCAAACTACACAAAAGGCAGCCGCTAAAGCGTTTAAGTTTCAAAATAGAACAAACGAAACAGACTAAATTGTCAATTCCACTTAGAAACAAAATATTAATTCTAAAAATAAATCTTAGTTTGTTTTACAGAAGAACAGACAAAACTGACTAACTTTTGTCAATATCAAATAAACTGAGAACTAAAAGGAAATTCTCAATCTCTCCTTGTTGTATAGCTGAGCTTTTCAAACAGTTTTAACAGTTACTTTAGTCTGACAAAAGCCGAATGACGAATTAGCGCTTCCAGTCAGAGACTGAGGCTACGTCCACACGTACACGGGTATTTTTGAAAACGGAGATTTTCCGTTTTCGTTTTAAAAAATAATCCCGTCCACACATAAAGGCAGAAATGAAGGAAAACGCTGCTATGAACATGCCAAAGCAGCAGGTGGCGCTAGATTCCTAACCGTGCAGAAATGTTGGCCAATCAGAAGTCTAGAAGCCTCGGTGGGAAAAAGTAAACAAAGCTGGGGCATAGAAGCAGAACCGAGTCGTATGTGTGGACGGACAGTAACTGTGTGTATATGTAAGCATTTAAACACTGCAGAGAGTAGAATTAACAGTAACAGTATTGTAGAAATTCATTTCACCGAAACAATAACGTGGCGCACAGTGTGACGCATGCACCAGTTTATTGTATTTCCAGACTTGCTTTCGGCACAATTTACAGTGCACGCTACTCTGTTTTTTGTCAGACTTGAAATAGCCGAAATACCTTCACACTACGGAACTTCTATGGCTCTTCCGTTCGACAATCTCTCCGGCGTTGGAACCATCATCTGTTTTCTCTTCGGTCACGCTCGGTTGATTTTTCTAGTCGGCACACTCATTTCCTCCATTACCCGCTGGCTGCTTCCCAAACAAACACACGTGCGGCTTGGCACTTGTGCTGTACGTAACAAGTCACGCGACGTGACGCTGCGGCTGTGATTGGTTCGGCTCTGCGCTACTTAATTTGGATTGGCTGATTTTTTTTTTTAAGAGGACAAGAGCGGCGAGGTCTATCGCGATAGTTTAATTTCTCTATCGAGTAAAAGTTATATCGCGATACATATCGTTATATCGCCCAGCTCTACATACACGCTGCCATACTAACGGAAAGGCATATACAAGTGTGCATCCTTGTGAGTTGCTTGTGAGTTCGATTTCATAAAACAATTAATCTCACAAACTCAGTTTCTGATTTACTGGATTAATTTTTACTGTTTCAAAAATACAAAAGACGTTTCTTTCTCAGAGGACAGCCCAGGGGTAGGTACACCATCCAACATTCAAAGGTGGGGTTACACTTTTCTAGAAACAATGCAAACAACACACAAAGAGTGCAAAGGTTTGTCTGCCCTTGTTGCAAATGCACACACTGCTGCTCTTTCCATCACCGTGAGAGGTATGCACAAATAAAGCAGTGATATGCACCCATGTCTCAGAAAAGGGCCTGATGTAGCATGTGTAGGCAGAGAGTGAAAATATGTAGCACAGCAGGACGACAGGAGAAAGATTGGGCTTTGAATAACAGTCCTGTTGTGTCTATACAGATGAGTCTAAAGCCAAGTGGTCAAATACATGAGCATAAGAAAAATGGGAAAGATTAGAAAGATTTTGCACCAAAAATAACATTAACTTGAAATTAATGAGAAAAATATCTGTGCCATTTAAATAAAATGATGCTGCATTTTCACAAAGACCAGAATATTATACCAATAACTTCAAAACAGGGGAAGCAACTTCATGTGAAGCTAAAGGTTGGAAATAAGCATATAAACAGTTGAAGAAGTGTGACACCTTCTGTACAACAAAGGAACTGCAGAAGTTAGAGTTAAAAGAGCCTCCAAAACAGATCTGTAGCATGAAAACAGATTAAAATTCAACGAAGTCTTTATGTAATTTATAGCTCAATATAAAAACAAATTAAAAAAAAAACAAAAAAAAAAAAAACAGTTAACTACACTGGGTGTTTCCAGGATGAAAGACAACACCGTTGGCATGTTTCAGCTATGCACACTGTCTCTTTCCGTAGCTATATACACTGGATTACAGCATTGGTGACATACGACTGTCACTCCCAGCCTGTCATGCTTCACACATATCCCGTTGTGGAGCGCCCCATTTCAACCCAAACCACCACGTCTTTTCCTAAGACCAGCCGAATGAATTTTAGTGCCCAAACTCAACCAGTAAATAGGAGTGAAAACATGTGAAAAAAAGGTCCAAAGGTGACACAAACCACTGTCCACTGACTGATCAACCTGTGACCAGAGACCTTACGCCATCAGCACCCTTCAAACCTCCCAATGTTTGTAGAGCTCTAAAAATGGGTCATTTACTCTCATTCCATCACCATGTGACACCCCCAGAATGAAAACAAACATACAGATTTAACTATCCATGACATTTTCATTAGCTTCTTCATCCAAGTTTAAGTTGAAATATTCTGAAAACACCATCTGCTTCAGCAACCCCACAATAAAAATACTGATTAATAACAGAAATGTGTCCACACCTGACCCATCTTACAAACAGGCCACTACAGAAGTTTGAACAGAAAAAGAGAAACACACTGTAAACTCTTCTGATCTTCAAACACACAGCTGAGGTGCAGAGCAAACAAAAGCCACCTTACTGGGTTAAATGGGACTCCAGTTCCCAAGCAGCAATGGTCCTAAAGTTGACTGCAGGCTCTGCTCTGCCTAAAGACTCAGTGGAGGTCTCATCTTCCTCCTCCCGTTTGGTAATTCATCACGGCGCTGAGCTTGAACACCCCTGCTGTCCTGCCGTGGCCACAAATCACGGAGTGAGAAGTTTGCGAGATGCTGAGGAGGAAAAGTGTCTCAGGAGGAGCTGACAATCCAGGACTTTAATAATCTCCACTCTTCTTCCTCTCGAATCCTCCCTCTCCTTCTCCTTCTCCTCCTCATCTCATCCAGACGATTACTTCTGCAGCTCCTGCGGCGTGCTGAAGGTCTCGTAGACATTGGCTGCAAACTCCTTCACCTGGTCGTTCATCAGCAGCTCCTGCAGAGATCGCACAGATTTAAACATGTTTGATTAACATACAACCAAGTTTGTAAGAAAATAAAAGTGAAAATAAACAAATCTCTCAGTTAAACAATGCGATATGTTGTCTTTGTACAATTTTTTATTAAGTAAAGGATATAAATGATTTGGTTTTATTTACATGTTACACAAATCTTAACTTTTTTGGAAATAAAAAAAATAATATATACTCAGACAATCCTCTTAAATAATTTCAATCAAAATAAAGGTTTGATAAAGAGCCCAAACGTGCAGATGAATAAGAATAAAATAATCTAAGAGTGTTTGAAACACATTAAAGAAAGTGAAACGGATCGTGCAAGATTAAAGATTTCATAACCAATCTGACAGTGATTCTCTAGAACTCATTAACATGTGTATTCTGAAATGAGAGCTGCACCTGTCAGCAGATTGGAACATGTTTGAACATTACGCTCCCAACAGTAAAGAAAATCAAAAAGCAAATGGTGTGGACAATGACCGATTGACAGATAACTAACAGCCAGAGCAGCTGCCTGTTCCAACTGTTTCACCCTGAATCTGGCTGTTTGCCATACTGCACATCACTCTGATAGTTCACTCCACCGTTTGGTGTTCGATGTTACCTGAACAAAGTGACTGGGGGTCTCACTGCAGATGGTGTTGATCTGACCGTTGATGATGGGGATGATCTTTGCCAGCGGCAGACTGACTGCAGACAGACTGAACACACAAACACAGAAAAAGACAGCAAAGTTTAGGTAATGCCCACTTCATGCTAATGTTTGCTGGGAAATAACAAGGACAAAAAAGCCCCACCCACCTCATAACACTTAATATGTGTATAAGGAGTGTGTTTTACATTATATTACACATGGCCGGTATTTATGTTCAGACAAAACCGAGGAGTGATCACGACCTAAACAGAATCATATCTAACAACCCCATACAACCGAAGCACATTAGATGTTAATGTAGTCCTCCTGAACAGGTAGGACTATATTAATGTCCATTTTGGAATTCCAAAAGGAAAAGCTTAAAAAGAACTACCGAAGTACACGTCTGAGACCTGACTTGAATGTTAAAATCTTCTAAATCTTTTGTGCATTTTCAGTTTCAGCTTGTGAAACTGGCTCTCTGGTTACCTGTCTAAATCACTGCGTCAACCCATACTTAATATATGCCCTGGTGAGGAGCAGGTTATGCTCAGAGATTTAGTTTAAAATCGCCAGGAGGGCCCACATTTTCTTATTCTTATATTCGCAGCACATTTTAAATGCAATATCGATTCTCTGCTGGAGGGACATTTTTTTAAGTGCAAGCTGTTAAGCCATACTTTACTAAAACCACTGAATGAAGTACAAATTGAATACCGTAATGTCACAGGAATGAAATTGTATAAATGTCTTAATATTTGATGGTAATCTGCTGCTTGGTCTGTTTAACACTGCTGGAACTGCAGCTGCTCGAATGCAGGACACATAGGGATTATTTTGTGTGGAAGAATATGAAGTGCCCCGTTTTATGTGAGCAGAATGAAGCAGTTGTCAAGCCAACGAAGCCAAAGAAAGCCCGGCGTTATTGAAATTTGTTCATAGTGTAACCCTCAGGTCACCAAACTCCAGTGACAGAATAATAATATCTCCAGCTGCTATCACATATGTAGGGATTTAATAAGATTTCTCCATGTTTCAAATGCAAATTATAGCAGTAAAACAAATAAATAAAACAGGTGTCTATGGCTTACCTATCAGGTGCACAGCTGGGGGCAGAGTCACTTGGAGGCGGGCGGAAGAACTCTGCCAGGTTGTCACAGAGACGGGAGAAACCTCGGTTCAGACAGACTTTGAGGACAGTGGTGAAGTCTGGACTGAAGTCAGACACAAAAAGCAGAAATTCACCTTTCACAGGAGCACAAACACAATCTTGTTAAAGCATACCTACAGACAGGTGTGTCATTTACCTATCCAGCATGTCTCTAGTCTCGTTAAGCAGCTTTATGGTCATAATGTCATTCTCTGTGAGCCCGCACGCCTACAGGAGCAGAAGAAAAGAGATCTGTAAGACTCTGTAATGGGGTTTTCCCGTGAACGGCAGTGTAAATCTGCTTTGAGCAGTCACCTGATCGGCCAGCACGTTCTCGTCATCTGCAAGCAGGTACCAGGACAGAGACCGCCTCGAGCTGGCCTCCACCTCCGCTCTGATCCAGTTCAGCTGCTGCTCCAGCTCCAGCAGAGACCAGGTCTCCTTCAGAGACACGCTGGAGATGAGAAATAAACCACGTTGATGTTTTGATGATTGATTTTTTTCATTTAAAAGATGCACAACAAAGATCAATACAAAGAATTTGTTCCACATTGTTTTTACCAGCCTAAGCTACGTTGTTAATAACTTGTTCTGTTGCTTTATAGATCACTGATGGATAATGAAGAGAATAATTGTTGCAGATCACCTTCCCAGTGAGCTCTGTACCGCCTTCTTCACTACTGTTATCAGCTCTGCCAAACCTAGTGTGAGACAGAGACAGAAGTCTGTTACTACAAGAGTCCTGCACTGACAGATGGAAACAAGGATTTTACAGGTTTATGCTTTTGTGTCAGTGCTATACCGTCTCCCAGTAGGTGCTGGATACTTGACAAGTACTGCTGCTGGACATCTGGGGGGGCAAGAGGGGTCTGCAAGCAGACACACAACACAGACACACTCCTGAATAATATTCACCTCAGCTTTAAACAGGCAGAGATTTTTTGAGCCAATCTAAGCTTATTTTAATCAACAGGTCATTAATTAAATCTTTAACGTATTCTCTTCTATGTTATTCAGTTCAGGCAAAAAGCACTGCTGTGCTGCTCTCTTTAATCACAGCCATGTGTTACACTGCACCGAAAATCTTCACCAGTTTTACTGGGGAATCAAATTAACCTGTTAACATGTTCGTCAGGGAAACCTTGGGTCCTGGCATATGTGGATATCGATTCAAACATTTTCACACAAACCTTAGATAATCTTTCATTTTACAACAGGAAACAGGTTTCTGGTGCAGGAGTCAGTACACAGGATGAGTATTTCCCAGCTGTGGGTACACCAAAATATTACCCGTCTTACTCTCAGACTGACACAAATCAGCGTAACTGGACACAAACTGGGAACTAGCAGGTCAGAAATGGGCATTCTCACATTCTCATATCACTGACAGATGTGGGAAATATTTTCTGACATGTACCACCCACCCAAACAATGTCCACCCTGCCAGTGGACATGTATGGAGCATGACAAAGAACCCAAGGCTTTGCCCTGGGCTCCAAACTCTCCAACAGACAAACCACCCCACAATTCATCACCTCAGTGTGGCAGAAACTGCAGGACGGCCTGAGAGGTTCACAACAGGTCAGGGCTTTTTTGGGGAAACCAGGTAATGTTTAAAAGGTGTATTTTTTATGATCATGGATAAATATTATCAGACCGATATTTAACCTGTCTAATATGTATCTCTCTTTCCAAACAGTTTCCAAAACTCCTGACACAGTGAGCTGCAGCTGATCATTTTACACACAGTCAATCAGTTCTAGGAGTCACTGTGCTCCTCACCGTTGTGCTCTTTCCCACTGAGTTATCCAGGTACAGGTATCCTCCAATGATGTTCAGCTGGACTCTCAGTAAAACCACCAGCATACAGGTGCTGTACACCGCCACAACTGTGCGTGTAAAACCTGAACGAAACGACAAGTTCTGTTATCATATTTTAAGTTTTCTTGTGTTTGTTTTTAAATCCAATAAGTCAATTATTATTTATTATTATTAGATTATTTAGAGGCATTTAGATTTTACTCAGATACACTCAGTGACATCTGAACTGAAAAACACTTACTGATGATCTTTAAATCTTCCCAGATCTCCAGTTTATTAGCCGGTCTGTAAAGTAGATGTGAATGAGGGAAATGGTCGTCAGCCACTGTACACATTTATTTCACTACATGAACTTGTGCTAATTTCAAAATTTAATGTTTTCCTCAAGAATAAAATCAACAACTGCAATAATCAACATAAAATAACAAACAAAAGAAAAATGTAGCCTTAAACAATAAACTTGTGTACTACTACTGTTTGACCAAGTTAAAGAAGCTTTTTCCTCACTTGGACTTGAGTAGTGTTGTGAGACTTTCTGAGTTGAGTTGCGTGACGATGGCTTCTTTGAGCGCTGGGAGCATGGACAGCACTGCAACACATTTAAATCTTTCACTGTAGTGTTGGTCCTCACCTTTTTCTGTCAACTGTTAGTCATAACCAGGTCAAGTGTAAAATAATTACCAGTCATGTTGCAGGTCCTCTGGTTGCTCTCGAAGTGGAACTGTCTTCTGGCCTGAGCAATGTACTCTGTAGCCTCCCTCTCTTGGATCTCACTGAACTTCTTCTGGGCATATTTACCTAGAAGGTATACGCCTGAGGAGGGACGCAGAGAGCACAATGAGGTCACATTAAATGCAGAAAACTATCCTTGGCTTTGGTACGATGCAAAAGCTAACCAGGATTTGCACTGCAGATATTTATGACATGGAATAATACCAGAGGGCTGTACTTTCAGTAGCAGATTTACAGACTTGTGACAAATTAAAGGTGTTGAATCACTGTGTAAAATGTAACAGCTGAAATGAGCCTTGAAATGGATTCTCCAAGTTTCTCCAGTGCAAGGATAAACACTGTTTTTCAGAAGTATATTCCCTAAACCTAACCATCCAATAATTGTAACTGTGAAAACATTATGGTGCAAATTACACAGGACGGGCCATTGGGACTTCATTAAATCACCTTTAGCACCTTTATGGGGAAAGAATTTTAATTGGTGGGTCACAGGTTGACTGGCTACAGTGGCGTAAGGCAGGCATCCTCTATGTATCACATTTATTTGACTGCAGAACCAAACATTTCCTGAGCTTCGATCAGATTGTTAAGCTATATAATTTGCAGTGCAATCAATTCTGGAGATATGTCCAAATGCGCAGTTCTTTATCAAAATGGCTGGAAAGCCCCATGAGTTGTCCTGCAGGCAGCCCTGTGGAAGCACTGCTTTCAAGATCACCCTTTGGTAAAGGTATTACCTCTAAGATGTACCGTTTACTGCAAGACCAGTTAGCTGACCCTCTTTCCAAAGTTAAAAGTTGTTGGGCCCAAGATCCCCCCCACCCCCATATTTACCACTCAGTTTTAAACCAGTAAAGTCAAATAGCCACCGGATCCCACTTACAAATGTGTGCAATGTTACGACTTGCTGCAGATGCTATAGTTTATCAATTAATATGGTAAGTGAGACTGAATTTTCCATAATGCCACGTGAGATAAAAGGCCAGCAGTTATGTGGAGGTCAGCATACACTTAATTAATTTTAAACACGAATAATGAACAGCTACACCAAACTTCATTCATTTGTTGGCTATTTAAAGAGCCCCAAATAAAATACACAGTAAGAACTCCAATGAATAGTATTTAACTTAGTAATCAACTACCACATAAAGCAGTGTTAATTTCGGTGAAACTAAGTGGTTTCCTAAAAAGGTCTTTTCAATGCAAACACACCTTGTGGGTTGTTAAAAAAAACAGGGTAGTTTCACTAAATATTCTGCGGCACGATGGAGAAAACAAATTCCGAATAAACCAAATACCATTCTTTTTTGATGCTTTTGAAATATGGGTTAGCGTGCATTTCTTCCGTCTTTATTTTACAAGGGGATAAAAAGCCCAGTCTAAAGGCTGTTCTGCGGAGTCTGGCGTGTTGCTGCAGTCTTGCATTAGCACGGCGGCTAACAGGAACATGACTTACCTCCAATTAGAGCTCCGGTGAAAATAAATTTCTTTTTATGGCGTTTTATAAAATTCCACGCAGACGAAAACATCCTCGGACAGAGAGAGGGCCACCAACTAAAACAACAAAAACTCTATTTCTAAATTCTTTCTTACTATTTTACGGACATGTTTCGGGTAGCAGCTTGCTAACTCTCAAAAGTGCCAAAGTACTTTGGTCATGGTAACTATTGTAATGACTTCCGGTTATTTATGTCAAAATAAAACCACAAGTCGAACTACAGTAGTCATAAAGTGACTTTGTGTCTGCAACAAGGCTCCTGGAAACATTCTTATTTATTTAGGCAAGGAAAAAACACTTAATGTTTTTAAATGCTTTTAAAATATACAATACAATGCAATATACCAGTGCACATACAAGCTTTGTAAAACTGAGCCACAAATTTTAAAATAAAATATTTCAAAATTTGACGAAAACAAAAATGAATATCTAATATATAGATAGTTTTGAGACACTACTTTGTCACCATCGTCAGACTGGTCTCTGAAGTAAAACACAATAGATTTTTTTTAATCTTATAAACGAATCGTATCGAGCCCTAAAAATTTAGTTTATCCCTGTATAAACTTAATTTTGTTCTCTTATTTTTGGGGGTTAAATCGATAACATCCGGTTTAGATCCCTCCACAATAGTCATCAACTTGACGTCATTAGACCAGAACGAGCGTGGAGCGCAGGTGCAGCGAGTGGTCCGTCCAATATTATCTTCCCCCCCACCGGTGTGAGTTCGTTACATCGGCGCGGCTACGGGTAAAACAGGAATTAAAAATTAGCAGGTGTATTATATGCAGCTTTTTTATATTGAGTTTTGGTCACAGCAGTTGAAATGGGAACAGAGGAGGGTAGTAAAGAAGAGTCTGTGGAGCTGTTCTGTCCGAGTGAAGAGGAAATTGAGAGGTGGATGGCCAGAGCTTTTGACATGGTGAGCTCGTGTTTTTAATCACTCCGTTAACTCTTCAGCCGAGTCACGGCGACTTTGTTTGTTTTGTAAAATTGCAGTTTTAAAGTAATTATTTAATTTTCATTTAAACTACTCGGTATGTGAACTACGAAGTTTCTATTTTTTTATTTGCCTTATTGTATTGATTGAGGTATTGGTTATTTTTCTAGCTAATTTTATATAGTAATGCTACTTAGATGTCTTTATTTGTATTTCAGTTTTTCTGTTATAGACCTCTGATGCCCTTTTTCTGCTGTTTATCCAGGCTCTGATCATGTTTAGGGATTAAGTAGTGATATTATATACAGCTTGAAAAAAGTTTCTTTATAATAGTAAGTAATAAATAATGTAAACATTTGTCAGATGTGGTCACACAGGTGTCTCCGTGAACCTCGTGGATGTTTGTAGATAGCACTGTGATCTGTAGTAAACAGGTTGAAGAGAGTGTAATGAAAATCAGATAGAAAATCTGTGTGTGAATGAGAACGAGATAAATGTAATAGTCAAGGTAGACGAGTTTAAATACCTGAGGTCAACCATCCCAAGCAACAGACAGTGCACAAGAGAGATGAAGAAGAGAGTACAGCCAGGATGGAGCAGGTGGAGACGAGTGTCAGGGGTGATTGTTGACAGAAGGTCAGCAGCAAGAGTAAAAGTGAAGGTGATGGTAGTGAGACCTGCTGTGATGGTTTGGAGATGTGGCACTGAGAAAAATACAGGAGGCCGAGCTGAAGATGCTCAGATTTTCAGTTGCAGTGAGCAGGATGCACAAGATTAGAAATCAGAGGGAAAGCTTAAGTATTTGGAGATAAAGAGGCAAGGCTGAGTTGGTTTGGACATGTGCAGAACATGTACTGGATAAAGGGTGTTGAATGCAGAGTTGCCAGGCAAGGCCACAGAGGAGGTTCATGGATGTAGTGAAAGAAGGGTTAGTATAGCAGAGGAGGATGATAGAGATGGCAGGAGGCAGATGACCCACTATAATAACCCCTAAATCCTTAATAATTAGTGTATAATGTTAAAAATAATTTCATGTGCCTCCTTTATGATATTAAGAAATGTCTAAAAGTTTAATCTAGAGAACCCTAAAGACACCACGCTCTCAAAGCTGTGAGCTGCAGCCAGAGATCTGTGCACAGGTGTATTGGGGATTTTTCTCTTCTGAAGTTCTTCTTAACACTAACCAATTTTCCATCTTTAGTTGCTTCCTGTTAACTGCCTTTTCAAATGTGTTGCTGCAGGCCAAAGAAGCTCTGGAGAATGGAGAGGTGCCTGTCGGATGTCTCATGGTCTACAAAGACGAAGTTGTGGGGAAGGGAAGGAATGAAGTCAATGAGACTAAAAATGTAGGCAAAATGTACAGCACAGTTATTTGTCTCTGCAAATGCAGATGTATGTATGAGTGGTCTTCTTTCAAAACTCATAAGTCAACAACTAAGACAAAGCAAAATGAATAAATTATAGAACTGATACAATAACTACTGGTGAGGAGAAGAAGAAATAATATATTGGTATATTAAAATGTAACAAGTTCAATAGTTTGAACAATTATCTGTTCAAACTATTGAACAAACAGGTCCCAGAGGGTCTGGGTTGATGGTCTCTGTACAGTAATCCCCCACTGTGTAGTTTGCTTTGACCGACCTAATTAGTTTCTGTAATCTGCAAGTGTCAGATCAATCACTGATCAATATTTGTCCTTAAGTAAGCCGGTGACTCTGCAATAGCGAGTCCTCTGCAGCGTGTGGAGTGAGAGCCCATAGCTGAGAAAATTCTTTCATGGTGTGAACAGTTTTCCTTCCAAGTAAATGTGGCTCAAACTAAGGAAAAGTCCCCGCTGTCCCTGCATCATGTCTGATGAAAGATGAGCAAAAGGCCGTGAACAGTGCAGAGATACATCTGGGCACCGAAGTGCAAAAAGTTCCCACCTGACCTCCACAGAATCAGCTGTGCTTTTTTGTTTAATGATTTCAGCCCATCTCATTAAATTACAAAGAGTCTTTTGTAAGTTTTGAAAGTTTCAGGGCTGAACCTCTGTTTAAAAACTGCAACCAAATCAATTTAAAGCCACTCCAAGGGTCACACTCGCCATTAGCTTTTGAGCATCAGAGTTTCAATCAGCTGTTTAATGAAGTAGAGGAACAAATACCTGAGCGTCAACACGATACCTGAGGTTTGCATACGTTTCTTTGTGCGTGGTGGTTTTTTTCAGGCCACTCGGCACGCTGAGATGGTCGCTCTGGATCAGGTCCTGGACTGGTGTTGGCAAAGCAGCTTGGACGTGAAGAGCGTGTGCGAGCGGATAGCGCTGTACGTCACCGTGGAGCCATGCATAATGTGTGCTGCAGCGCTGCGCCTCCTCAGTATCCTCACCTCACCTCTCTTCTAGTGTGTGTGTGTGTGTGTTGGGATTCAGTTGTTGTTCCTTTACCAGCTGTCAGACATCCCCGTGGTCGTGTATGGCTGCAGGAACGAGCGTTTCGGAGGCTGCGGCTCAGTCCTGGATGTCTCCTCTGCAGACCTGCCTCACACTGGGACCCAGTTCAAGGTCCGTGTTTGCTCCTGGTGTCTTTCTGGATTCCGCCTGCATGTTTGTGGAGTAGTTTGTGCTTCCTGCAGCTGAGTTCAGAAATCTTTAGGCAAGCAGATCAGCTCCTTTTCTGAATGGGATGTTCAAGCGTTACATGAATGTAAAGTCCTTGTGTGGTGCAGTGTGTAGTGTGTATTATATGTGTGTGTGTGTTCAGTGTATTTCAGGTCACAGAGCAGAGGAAGCCGTAGACATGCTGAAGACTTTCTACAAACAGCAGAATCCAAATGGTGAAAAACAAAACCACTCTGCATGTCTTTTTTTTTTCTCCTCCTCACGCTCCATTATCAAAATGTTTTATATTTTCATACTTTACTGTTGCTTTTTTTACACTATTATTCCTTCTCTTCTTTTCTCACAGTGTTAAACTTTCTGTCTGTTTCAGCCCCCAAACCCAAAACAAGGAAGGAGTGATCTCCAAGAAACATCCTATTACAAGGATTTTTTTATAATATTATTAATTAAATTATATTTTACATACATTTTTGTCTATTGCTTTTTTTTTTCTTTTTTTTTTACCTTTTTTTTTACCTATTAATATGACATTAATAAAGGACATCTTATTTACAGTTAGAATTTAGCATTAGTGTTTCTGTTCATGCAGACTGCCACCAGAGGGCGCTATAGACCAGCGGTCTTCCTGTCACTGAACCTCGACATAGAAGAAATAAAACTATAGTCTTTGGACTAATAAATACTATATTTAAAAGAAATGTATGATATTTTCCAAAAGTAAAGGCTCAAGTATGACAATAAGAAATCATTTTTAGAAAGGAGGAGGCAAATCTTCACTGGATGTTGTGTGGGTGAACTTTACACGCTCTTTTCTCCGTCTTGCGTATTGATTTGTATCGTTCAGAAGCACACTCTTGGCCTGCTTCAGCTCTAAATGTGATGCATACCACTTCCTGTGATATTTTTCCGAGAACGAGTCAGGCAGTGTGAGAAACTAAGGAAGTGTGCCTGAGAGCGCTTCTCAACGGGAGTGACCTTCACAGCTGCTCGTATAAGAGAAACACACATGCTGACACAATTCAGCTCGTTTCACTTCCTCTCAGACACACACACACTCTGTGGTGTGTCAGTTGGTAGCATTAGCAGTTAGGTTGTATTGACAGTGTCTGTGTGTGCGTTGCTGGGTATGTGTGTCTGTTTCATGTGTCCTGCTGTTTTTATTCCTCCCCCTGGCTCAAAAAAGGGATTGATGGAATTTAAACTTTTTTGCACTTTCTTTTGCTCTTTGTCTTTTCAAGGTTGTCACCACTTCCTTCCTGTCTCCTTCCTTCCTTTTTGTGGCTGATAACTTCCTTCCTTCCTTCTCCATTTCCGTCCTTTTATTTGTTAATTTCCCACTCCCCTTCTTTTCCATAATTTTGTAAAAGTAGTTTTTTGTCTTAACTTTCTTCTGCTTTCCGTCCTTTTTCTGCTTTTTACTTTTTTAATTTGCCATTCTCATTTTTTGCTATCTTAAAGTAGAAAGTTATTTTATGTCACTGCATAATAAAATAATAATAATGATGAAACAGAATAACATTGTGCTAACACGATCAAGCTGATATATAATACACCTGCTAATTAGCACTATGTAATAGACTAAGTGCTACATTTTAATCACCAAAACTGAAGCACAAACTTATTGAAGCTCAAAGCAGTTCATGTTATTTGTTACATAGTAATTCCATTAAAAATGCACTAAAAGCATAAATGTGACGTTCAGATCAGCGACTCTCTTTAGATAATAAGAGTTATAAGCTTTAGCAGTGATGCTTAGCAGACGGCTATCGCACATCAATAATCTAATATTCCATAATGTTAGTTAGTTTGTTTTTCCCCCATATACTACACATGGCTTTCTGATGTGCTGTTTTGAAACTTTAAGATTTCTTAGACGTGACGAAGGAGGCCCTGATTGTTTAACTGGACGCTAATTGTCTAATTACTGACATCTCGTTAGCCAATGAGTATATCATTTTGATACTACCGCCAATCCTTCATTTTAAAACACAAGAATCCTTTTCTAAACAGCTTCAATTTTTTTAGTCTGTATGACTAAAAATGAGTGACTGAGCCAATAAACTCAGCAGGAAAGTATTTACGGGGGTGAAGTCAGAAAGCTGTTTTTCCACAGACTCTTACAGGCCTGGAAGTTTTGTTTTGTTTTTATTTTTTGCATTCACAGCTATCGCCACACTTCCACATTGGCTTCATTTTTCCCTCCTACACATACTCCAGGTAGGCTACGCTGCACAAAAAACTGTATTTATATTTATATATATTTATATGAAGCTTTGCTGCTGACCTACAAATGAATCCTGTAGGATACACTTCTGTGATAAGATGCCTTTTATAGGGTGAATAAAATGCTTTCAGTCTTCTACAGGATCAAATCCATTGGGATTAGTTCCCATAACAGTTGGGATACTGATATGGGAACTAATCCCAATACTTTCTGTATTTCAGCTTAAAATTGACTTAAATATTACACTTTTAGAAGGAAATTGAACTAATCAAACACGGCAGTGGGATTTGAAAATACTTATGTGCCATTATCTTTCCTCTTCTCACCTGTTTTTATTGCTGAGCTTGTCATTAGTTGGAATTGAACTTAACTTGAAAATTAAAGCAGTTAATGGCGAATGAAGTTTTCATCAAGAGTCACAACTAAAGTTTGTTAAATTCCAAATGGCTGTTCTATAGAATCTAATTTTGTGCAAATGTTGGTGTCGCCTCCTGCTGGTCGTTAGAAAGAGTACAGGTTTCTGGCACGTTCACGTGTTGTCTTTCATTTACAGTCTGTGATCTTAGATGGTGTGATGTTTTAAACTGCCTTCTTCCTTTTTCTTTCTTGTGTTAGCAGTTCCTCACCAGTTAATTTACTTCAGCGTTTTTCCACTTCCTTTTATGACCTTTTTCACTTTCCCCTTCATTCCCCCTTACTATCTCTTCTATCATACAGGGTTTTTTTTATTTCCCACTTCCACTTTTTCGTTCCTTTTATTACAAACTTGTAAAATACATGCACACGTTCCCACAATATTTTTTGTTTACTAAAATCATCACAAGAAGCAGCTGAGAATTTAAAGCCGCGTAGGTTTTCTCATGAACCCGTTTTCCTGAGGACACTGAGCTCACAGATACATCAGATATATCAGATACACAGTTCTTTGTATTCACGTGAAACACGTGCCTCAGTCCAGCTCCTCTCGTCTCGTTAGCATGTAAATATATGCTAATACATGCAGAGCAGAATATTCGAGAATGTTTTAATGTGTCACCTCAGAGTGGAGGAGTTGATGTGTTAATGAAGAGACAGTGCGCACACACACACACAGAGCAGTGCAGGGTTGGCTGCGAGGCGCTAATGAACAGAGTGTGTTGTGTCAAACTCTCCTTTCCAAAACGACAGCGAGAGGAGTCTCACACAACCACACTTCTACACACACACACACACACTGGAGAACACCAAAAAAAAGGAAAAAGCTGTGTAATACGAGATGTCACGTTGTGTAAAGGTGTTTTTATTATATTACTGTCACAAGAGAAGAGGTGTGTTTGTGTTCAAGGAGGAAGCAGATGCGGGGGGAGCTTAGCTGCTGACAGGAAGTGTTGCATTGATGTGTTTTTTGTGGGTTCACAATTTTAACCTTTGCAGTCTAAAGAAATCGAACTAAAAGGGTCGTGCTCCACCTTTCTGCTCAGCACAGAGGGGGAGGCATCTTAGCTTCTGCCTCTGCTTTGTTTTGCAAATTCTTTTAAGTCAAATATGTTTCAATCAGTCTGCATATATTTACTTTATGGTCCTAACTTCTCTTTCATCCTTCCTGCGTGTCTGTTTTCTTTGTCACATCTGTCCAACATTGAGAAACCCACCGCATTACTTATTTTCTGTTTGTTCCCGCTTTATTATTTTTTTCTGCTTTGGTAATTTTCTGCACACATCAGTTTTATTTTCGTCTCCTTATTTAATTAGTTCCTCTTTCATTGTGGGTCCAACTGCTTCGGTTCCTTCTTTCATTCTTGACATATTTGCTTTCAGCCTCGCACATCTGGGCGACAGATCTCGATTTATTTTGTTCTGGTTTATTCAGCAGAGGCCTTGGCAATTTACAGCTAACGGGGTGTCATGAGTGTCATTCACATCGTGTCTTATTGTTGCTTGAAGTTTCCATTGTGACAGAGAGCTGGAAAACTCGGGCGCGGTGAATTCTTTCTCTCTTTGCTCACTGCTTTAACCCATCTCTGCTTGTGTGTGCGACCAGCATGGACACAGAGGCCAAATATTACAGACTTTATAAATCAAAGTAGTGTGTAGACTGTTAGCATCTTGTAATGTGTGTGGGTGTAATTAGGGATGAATTTATATTTCTATTCTTGGTTTTAGAGGCCTTATGAAGGTTTTATGACTAAACTGATGTTTTTATTAGTCTGATTATCTGATTATTATTCTCTAATTGGATGACTGAATTCTACCTGGTGTGTGAGTGATTATACGAACACTTTGTACCAATTGGAGGTCAGTTCGACCAAAACCTTGTGACTCAATCAAAAAAAAAGTGTTAAGTGACACAGTAGGAGAAATGTATCATTCATTTTTGCAGAAAAGGCACATAAAGTGAAAAAGGGGGTGTGGCTTGAATCTTAAATGACAATGAATCTGATATGTTGCAGATATCAAATTCAAAATAAACCTTATTTCCTATCAAACTACCTTATTTGTTGAAGAAGATGTCGATGAATCTCACCATCATCCATGGGTTCAACTTCTTATATCAGTGTTGGTCGAGTTACTTGAAAAAAGTAATCAGTAACTAATTACTGATTACTTCTTTTCAAAAGTAATTAGTTACTTAGTTACTTTTTAAAAACATGATACACAACCTGAATAGGTGATAAAGTGATAGATCTTTCAGCCCAATTCTACTTTTTCTGCATAATCCATCATATAAAATGTAATCAAATGGAAAAGTCTCTTTTTAAAACTTGTTTTATTAGTTTTAATCTTTTAACTTTATGCATGAAGCAAACATTAAATTATATGCAACATTCTCTGACTGGAAGAAATTAGTTTATCATTTAAACCTATTTTCTGCACATTCCAGCACATAAAATAAAATCGTTTTTTGTGTTTCGGGGTTTTCTTCGCTGTAAAAAGAAGTTTTCTTCCCACGCAGTGAACAGCGGACGCTAATGTTTTTGTCACTTTTACAGAATCAAACTCAAAGTAAGGTCAGTACTTCCACGCTTCAAACGCTGCACGCTCATCCTCTCTCCCGCACTCGATATATCATCCAGCTGTTGTCACGAACGTCGCACTTGTTTATGTCATTGTCATAAAACACTCTCGCAAACGAAATCACGGTTTCGTAACGCAGCGTGCTTACGGGAAAGTAACAGTAATCTAATTACCTTTTTTGCAATAGTAACCCCTTACTTTACTCGTTACTTAAAAAAGGTAATTGGATTACTGCCCATCTCTGTTGGCGACAGATGTAGTGAAGTACACACATTGGAGGACCTTTGATGAATCTGTCTTTCAGTCTCAAGTACAATATTCAGCTTTCAGACACCTTTTTTTTTTCCAGGTGTTTCTTTGATTAGATGTGTCGCCAGCTTTGCTGATGTTGTTGCAGGAAGCCTCGTCTCCCGTGACATGGTCTTGCTGTGTTTCTTACTCCAAATCAGATGGACTCTGGTCTATAGTATTCGGTAGTACTGACATAAATCTGATTGGCACACTAAAAAGGACAGAGTATGGTAAACGAGTCTAAGCATCACAGCTGAGCAGAGAGCACTAACTACTCTGTTAGATCCACTACTTCAATTTAACTGCCAGGAAAAAGCTACTTTCTATTGCCCCCTTTGTCACCATTTGACATACCTGTAAACACCATACTACAGCTGTCCTGATTATTATCAGTGGCCTCCAACAGCATCAATCAGTCAGGTCATCATGTAAAGTGTGGCTGTATTTCCTGTCTTGTGACTTGCTATTAATATGTTTTGAACTTTGAACAGTTTGTTAAATCGACAGCTGCACAGAGCTGCTGCGGTTGTAACTCGCAGCCAAAACGAACCTGTTCTCGTAAGTTTCTTTGGTTTTTTGCAGCATCGAGTGCAACTCTGGATTCACATGAAGAAAGAAAGTATTTTTAAATCAGACTTTATTGATAATTTACCGACCTCTAGTTTCTTTCACACATGTAGTGAGAGCGCAGGATGAATAGCACTAATAATAATAATAATAATAATCTTCAACACAGCACTGGTTTTCAATCATTATGAAGAAGCTAATAAAGAAATTTGTTCACTTGAATGTGCTCATTCCACAAAAACAAGTCCCATTAATGTGTGTTTCCTTTCCCTGCATACATGTGTTACATACATGTGTTTGCTGCATGTCAGAGTTGATGTCCTATGTTTTATGAAGATGTATGTATGTGCATATTTCGTCCATGTTTTGTCCTTGATCTGCAGGATGGATGCTTAGCTTTCGCTTCTGAGGAAACGAAAGAAAGCAAACAAAAAGATGAGCTCTCATTCATTACCTTTTTTTCTTCCTTATTTACATTTAATCGATGATGCATCTGTCTTCTTCTTTTTACTGCGTAATGTTATGGATAGAGTTCAAAAAGTACGTGTCTTTTCCACGTCCAGAGATGTCGCTTGTTTGTGTTCTGGTGCTGTCCTGTGAGCGCGGGGCAGGAGCAGTCCTCTGAAATGATTCTGAAGATCACTCACCTTTGACCTTTTCTTTGAGACAGAGACAAAAGGGGCCAGATTTAGTGAAAAAGATGGCAGGTGACCTTTATGTTACAAAAAATAGAAATCTGAGCATTTTTTGAGCAAAAACTTGAGCCTGCACAGAGCCACCTTTGGTCCTTAGAGTGTAGGTGACACAGGTTAATGAGCAGGTGTGCGGCTACTCTTCAGAGCGCATTTATGATTATTTGGTCCTTTTAACTGTGCATTTTAAATAATATTACGGTTTTGTTGCATTTAAGAAGAAATGCTCATGTATAGGCACGCTGTGAACACACAGTTACTATAAAGATACATGTTTTTGTGCAAATTAATCAAACTAAGTGACCTAATTTAATAATAAATAAAATAGAATAACTTTGAAAATACTACAAAAATAACAGTGACAAGCTTCATTTCTATAGCAAAGCACTCACAAGGTGCTCCACAATAAATAGCAGTGTTAAAACATTACAAAGTACGTGAAATGAGTAAACGTGAGGCTTGAACAAAATTATTATAAAACATTAAACAAAAGCCAGCCTCCACATTTTGTTTTGTTTATTTACTGAGGGGAACTGATTGTGCTGATCGTAAGAGGAAAATTGTTCCACAGTTTGGGCCAAAACGGCAAAAAGCAGCCAGATTCCAGCCCAGACCTGGAATCTATAACAGGAATTGATTGTCTGATCTGAGGGACTCAGGGTCGACATGTAGTGATTTTAAAGTAATCAGTGAAATTTTAAATTGGATTCTGTAGCGGATGGGAAGCCAGAGTAATTCTGCGAGGGCTGGAGTCGAGTGCTTGTGAGCGATATTTCTGCTGTGTTTTCTACTAACTGTAGACAGGAAACTGCTGCATCACTGAGGCATGTTTACAATGAGTTGCAATAATCTAATCAGGAGGAAATGAGGATATGGATAAGATGTTCGATTGCATTATTTGGAAGAACTGGTTTGACCTTTGCATTTGTAATCTGCGCACAGTGAGGCCGGACAAGACTTCTGATATACTGATTGAAACAGAGACGTTGACAGAAAAAATTGCATTTTTTTGCATAGGTTTCTAGGAAATTGCTTCGGGTCAGTTATCAGGACACTTTCAATATAATTTTGACTCAGGTCCACCCACAGACCAGGCATGCCGCTAAGCCAGCAGTGTTGGTGGTGAAAGCAAGAAATCTGTCCACTGTTGTTTGGATTTAGAGTCCAAAGCTAGGGGGACTCAAAACTAACCTTTTAAATACTAAACACCACAACTGAGCTTCAGATAAACTAAGAGGATAATGAACCAGGTCATAGACACAGACTGTGAGTCGCATTTTAGTTGTCAAAACATGAACTTTTTTGTAAAATTCTGTGTATTTGTTGCATAGTTTTTGCACTTTCAGTGCATCTGGAAAGTATTCACAGCACTTCACTTGTTCCATATTTTGTTATGTTACAGCCTTTATATTCAACTTTAAAATTATGCACATAACACCCCATCATTTGAAAGTGAAAAAAGGTAGCTTGAAGTTTTTGCAAATGTATTAAAAACAAAAACATAACATACACATAAGTATTCAGAGTCTTTGCTTAATACTTTGTTGAAGCATGCTCTTTTTAAGTACGAAGCTAAAAGCTTGGAACACATATTTATGGGACGTTTCTCTCATACTTCCTTGCAGAACCTCACAAGCTCCACCAAGGTTGGATGGGGTGTGTTGGTTCAAGTCTGGGCTCTGGCTGGGGCGCACAACGGCACTCAGAGAGGATCCTGAAGCCACTCCTTCCTTATTTTGGTCGTGTGCTTAGAGTTGTTGTTGGAAGATGAATTTTCGCCCCAGTCCAAAGTCCAGAGTGCTCAGGAGCAGGTTACCATCAAGGATGTCTTTCTTTTTGCTCTACTCACCTGTCCCTCGACCCCAACTAGCCTCCCAGTTCTTCATGATGACAAACTTCCCCACAGCATCATGGAGCCTCTACCATGCTTCACCAGGTGATAAGTGGCGCCTAGTTTTGTTTGTGTTTAAATAAATTTGCAAGAATTTCAAGGTAACTTTTTACATTTTGTCATTATGGGGTACTGTGTGTAGAGCTTTGCGGTATAAAATGAATTTAACCCCATTATGGATTAGGGCTGTAACACAGTCAAATGTGGACCAAGTGAAGCGCGCTGAATCCTTACGGATGCACTGTAGAGAATGGAAAGAATCACTTACAGCAATGATGAGTGAAAATGACACTTGTTTTATTGCTAAAGAGCAGCGTGCAGCTACAGAGTCGCAGGTTCTGTCTTGCGGCAACAATAAAAAGGTTTTTGCTCTTAAGCGTCTGTCCTTGTGTGTTTTCAGATCTCTGCTTGGAGCCTGATTTTGACTCTGTCGTCTCTGAGAAGCTTGTATCTAGTGACCGTTATTTTACAACGTTCGATTGGTTCTGAATCACATTTTATTCAACTTGAAAATAACAAAATAATTTCTTATTATTTCTTATTACTTCAAAAGGATGTTTTGCGAATTTAGCCCTCGATGTGTGACAGCTGAAGGGATTTTTGAGACTCAAAATGTGGTTTTAGTGTCAGGGTTACAATTGGGTTATGGTTATGGTAGGTTTAGGGTCAGCATTAGGCATTCATTTTTGATGCTTAGGGTTAGGGTAAGTGGCTATGGAAAGCATTATGTCAATCAGATGTCCCCACAAGATATAAATGCCCAGTGTGTGTGTGTGTGTGTGTGTGTGTGCGCGTGTGTATACCTGTGTGTGGTTTCTCCCAGATGTAGCTGTTGAGGATTTCTCCGAGGACATAGAAGACACCAATTACTGCCATCATTGCACTGAAGAAGGCGACTCGAGCTACGGGTGCGATGCGCTCCAGCACCGGGTACACCCACACGCCTGTCACCTGGTGCACCCAACATGTCCTGAGCAAGCAGAGATATTGATGGGCTTTATTTTACACATCAGTTACTGTAGTCCTTTGGCTTAAGTTGAACTAGAGGTAGACTGGATGCTACACTGACTATTACTGTATTCTGTGGCATAATAAAACCAGTAGATTTCACCGCAAAGCTAAACATACGGAATTGTTGTTTGATTACTGCACCTTTAATTCTCCCATACTGCTAAATGTCAAGGCACTTCACTTGTTACTTATTTAGGACGTGTGGTGTACGCGGCATTTATTGACTGCTGAGAAGAGTAAACATTCATTACCAGAGGATATATCCCACACCGAAGCAGCACACTGCCGCCAGACCCCACAACCTGCTGGGATACCGATGGTGGGTGGTCCGCATCTCGATGATGATGAAGGGAAGAACAGTGGTGTGCTGAGCGAAAGAGAGGGGAACAGATGAAGGTAAGGATAGCTTCAAAACAGTAAACATCTTTCTGGCATTCATTGAGATGTTTCTCTTGAACTACCCAAAACCGACAAAAGCAAAAATGGGAATTAGGGAACTAATTGCCATTTTTGGCGTATTGTACCCAATATTCATCGGCGCTACATCATGGACAAGGCTCAGTGCAGACTTAAATCGAAAGATGGTAAAGTGACTGCTGAAGCTAGTTAAATCTTTGAAAAAGAAGTGCTTTCCTTTTCAAGGATTATTTTATATTACTAAACCAAAGACTTCCAGTTTCAAAAAGTCACAGTTACACAAAACATCAGGAAAAAAAGTTCACAAATCTTATAATCTTTACAGGACAAGAAGGTTACGGCTTAGTTTTAACCTTGGGGTGCTGAAGGCCATGGAAACACTGGCATGATAATTAACATGGCTGGAGTAGAGACTGAAGATTTTTAAGACTGAGATGATATCCTAAAAGTTTCATTTTCAAGTTAATTTAATTGAAAACGACTTTATTATATTTTTTTTGTTCGTACTGTGATTTAATTTTTTTACCAGCTTGATAATGTTGAAGTCATAATGACGTGGATAAGAAAAAACGAAAGGATTTTAAAACGCTTTTTGATTGAAGCTTAAGTTCCTTTATTTAGAAACAACCACCTAGTGGCCATTTGTGGTACTGCACATGAAAGCAGCCAAGCTATAAACAGCCAACACTTTATTATTATTGTCATCACCATTATTGGAAAAATCTCGATTATGAAGACAGAGCCATGACTCTATTCTGCTCTGTATTCCTTTATCCAACCAGCAAAACAAACAAGGAAATAACACACTATCCACCAGCGTTTAATTTTCTTTAATTGATTCATTTCTGCAGTCCCAGAAGTCCAGAAAAACTGGAATAAAATACATAAAATAAGATCCCTGTACTCTTTTTACATTGCATGTAACCCCAATTGTCACTGGTTTGGTCTGTTTTTAATTATTCATTCATCTCTAAATACAGAATGCGCGCGCGCGCGTGTGTGTGTGTGTGTGTGTGTGTGTGTGTGTGTGTGTGTGTGTGTTCAGGCACCAGAGTTATCCATCTAAACACAAAAGTGCCATTTAATGGAGGTCACGACATGTGGTGCTATTTTCTCTGAAGCCATTTCTCACAAAAACACATGAGAATTGTCATTAATGTGACACACTCACAGCTGTTTGCACACGCACAAACACACACTTCCTGCATGCTTGTAACATCTGTCTTATTCATAATCCACCAAACATCAGTAATTTAATCATTTCATCCCACTATTAAAGTCCACCAGTGTGCACTACTGTCCAGCAGGGGGCACTCACACACATGCCTACGAACCAAAAATCAAGCATAATTGTCTCAGTAGAGTTTAAACCTCTTACTTCACTTGCTCTCAGAGGAGCACAGCTGTTGATCGGTGTGTGTGTGTGTGTGTGTGTGTGTGTGTGTGTGTGTGTGTGTGTGTGTGTGTGTGTGTGTGTGTGTGTGTGCATGCCTAACCTGAGAAGAGTCAAACAGTTGAGCCTTTTAGTCTCCAGCAGTTGAGCTAGTCGGATTTGTTATGTTACAATGGGATGATGTTCCCAGACGGACAGCTGGGAGTGATGCTGTTTGTACGATGCTGTGGGCTACAAAACGCTGGTGCATTTAATTCAAGTTTCTCCTATAAGAATTCTTTATAAGGAAATTCATAAACAATAAATGCCTGCATCAGTGTGAACAGCTAAAAATGGAGTACCCAGCCACAAACTGAAGAAACAGCTGTAACAGAGGCGCAAAAGACAACAAAACTGTAATTCAATCAATTAGCTACACAATTATGCAACAGTATCCACGCTTCACTCAACAAAGTAACAGATTAGCGGCTCCTGTGCGAGTGACTCAGCGTATCTCAGCAGGTTCACTGTAGGAGATGATCTCTGCTGGTGTGTGAGAAAAGTCGCTGCAGTGACAGAAACTGAACGCTTTCAGGTGCCACCTTAGTTACTCATGCATAAAGTTCAGGTAAGCAGTAAATTATGAAGGATCCATATGGTTAAAAATAAGTAGCCTTAAAATGTAAATAATTTCTGCCATTTATGGTTTCCTCTTTATATTCACATGCCGCGTGGGCCAGAAGGTACGAATGCTAATGGACGCCACGTTCACCGTTTTATCATCAACATTCGACAACATCTTTGGCTTTGTAGGTGGGATCATTTTGTGCAGAAACAATCATATGAAATGCCATTTTTATGTGAGAACCTGAAGCGGAAAGATTGGTTTAACAGAGGAAGTTGATAACTTCTGCCATTATCTCAGATGGGTTTCAGACATGTCTGTGAAGGTTCTCAGTCATCCAGGTCATCGTAGTCAAAGGAGCTTGCAAAGAAAAGCGTCTGGACTTCTTTAAGTTGCTTAAGTTGCTTCAGCTAAGATAGAATGATCGGCTGAGTTTTTTGTAGTTTAGCCCTCTGCTCTACCTTGTGAGCTGCAAATGTCTCTAATAAATCAGTATATACATTTCGACAAAGGAAAACAATAAGTGACCTTCAGATTACAGCAGAATTTCAGTGTTAAGTGTTCAGTATTAAACTTCTCATTGTCTGAGAGACAGGATGTGTATGTAGCATACATGCCAGTAAGTAACAATACTGCATCATTTACAGAAAACAATCTTTATCAGATCAATAAGTGGAGTGGCCCACACTGATTAGCATCACTTTCGTTTTTCCCAGCCTGATTAGCTGATCTTGTGGCTTTACAGCCAGACTGAAGAGCAGACAGAGCTAAGTGATGGCTGGTGCTGGATTTTTTTTACAGTTCATAAATACATTTCAAAACAACCACCTTACAAATAAACGAATGAATCTAAAAAGAAGAAAACAGCAAGGAAATCAGTAAGTGGTAATCTTTCCTTCAATCATCAACGGTAGGATGACATTTGTGGCTTGCCAGGCTTTAATCAGATGCTTGCATAACACCAAATGATTATATAATAATGCAGCCAATATGCATAATTTCTAAAGTCCCTGAAAGCTACACAGGCTACAAACAAGTGACATACCCATACTCGCTGCAGCTTACAGCCTTCTGAAGAACCACAAAGTGCATTTGGACTAATGAGCTGATCACGATGATTATATATGTACACTACGGTGCAATACAAACATGTAGACTTTGTTTATCTCAGTCAATGCTTCTGAATGAAACTGGAGAAAATTGTCCAGTCTGGCCACAGTGCTATTAAGCAGTTTCGAGGTCTCTTGCTAGCTAACATGTGGTGCACGAACAATGAAACCGGATTCATTTCTAATCAAAGTCGCAAATTAAGTGGAGCGAAACGAGGGAAGCTTGCAAATAATAAAAAGACATTTGAAAAATAACTCCTAAGTATGTCATTGCATGTTTTCACAAGCTTACCATTAAATTAAAATATTTAAAATTTTAATCCATGTGACAGATTCTTTCATTTACTAAATATCGTGTTTAAAAGTGAATTTAAGCAGGACGCATGAGGCCCACTCACTGGCTGTGAATTCACCGGACAATGACCGCACCATTCTCTTATGTGTGCAGTTGGACATCACAAAGTCTTTGCGCTTGAGAATTAGCAGGCAAAAACAACAGATTATTCCCAATCTATCTACTGTATATATCCACAAATATCACACATGCACCTTCTTCAAAGAGGGTCAGAAAAGTTCAAGGCTGCTGTGCATGTCTTAAAATGGCTTTTGTTTCTGTGTCTGTAGGGAATCGGAAGGTTTTGACGTTCAGTTACAGTTTAGCAATTCTCAAACATTCTAAGTGGTTTTCACAGCAAATTAAAAATTTCTGAGAGTCTATTTGTGAACGCAGCACTGATCTGTACACTGACCGCGGTGTCAAAGCCTGACCTTGACTCCTTTTCAGGCTTCCCTTGAAGCACTCGGAAAGGTCAGCGTGGAGATGCCAAGAATGCACAAACTGAGTAACAATATAGCTCTGTCTCCTAGGGTCTTAAATTTTAGGTTTCTCCTCCTTCATTGTACTGTACACACAGACACACAAGCAAATGTCCTGACGCTGCATTTTTCCCCCGTGCGCCTCAGAGGAATTCCAGTCTCCCGGTCAAGTATAAGTTTAGTATCTGCTGAGAGGACGCGTAAATAATACTCCCTTTATTCCCTCTGTCCCTCTCGCTCTCTATTTTTGCTCCTGTGTCTCTTCCTTTGTTGTTCTCTCTCTCACCCTCTCTATGTCCATCTCCCCCCAGGAGGTTTGCGGTTACACTCCAGCAGCCAGCTTTCGGCCTCCGTGGAAAATCCCCCCTCGCCGGCAAACAGCAGTGGTGCGATCCTGTGGTCTGGGGCTAAAAATGGGACAAACCATCTCACACAGAAATTCACAGCTGGGGGCCGGGTGGGGTCACATGACTGAGGGCAGCTTCGCGAGGTCAAACATCTTCCAGCGGCAACGAACCGCTGAAACTGACGCATCAGAAAAAAAAGCTTTACTGTGGGAAAGGATTTAAAAGGAAACCATCTGACTTGCAAGTTCGAAATTCACCAAAATCAAAAGAAAACATTTTATTCGAGAAACACTAACCATGCTATTGATTGGCTCTTGAGAAAGGTGCTACGGCTGAAATTATGACACTCAAGTGGTAGTTAGTATAACAAGTAGGCAACTTTGGTAATTTTTGCATCACTGCAATCATCAGTGGGTTTTAAATTAAACGATCAAGATGTGACTGAAGTGCAGACTTTCAGTTTTAATTCAAAGGCTTAAAAAAGTATTACATTGACTGATTACAAATTACAGCCTTTTTTTAGTCAGAGTAGTCCTCTGTTTTCAGAAGCTCAAAGGTAACTGAACAATTGATTAGACAACCAGTATCATGACCAGTTGAGGCCTGTTTCCTTGTTATTCCAAGACAAATTAAGCAGACAAGAGATCTTGAGGTAAACTTGCACTTGGAAGCATTTCACAG